GTCAGACAAGAAGAAGCATCCAGATCCTGTGCCACATGATTCCTCGAAATGTGACTCCAATTTATTCCCGTGTTGGACACATCACACATAGTCACAAAGTCCAAAACTTGTCCAAATATTTTGAACATTTCAAGACCAAATATAAGGTTTTTATCAGAAACAAAAGCAGCATTCCAGTCCATTGGCGCATCCGGATGTATAGACACTTCTGTCCAAGTAAGATACACGGGATGGAGCACCCAAGCCTTCCTAACTGCTTTGTTTCTCCTCCCAATTTGGCCATCTCCCTCGCACCAGGAGACAGACAGCATGAACAGCTGATCATTGCATAATACGAGTTTTGGATAGTACTCGTGCACACGGGGTGGGCATGGAGTGGTTTGAATTCTAACCCAATATCCCTTTTCTATGTCATATCCAGCAAGCTTATCACTCTCGGAGTAAACGTAGAAAATCCCATTACATATAATGCCAGAACAAGGTACTCCAAATTCTAGAGGTGGTCTCTGGATCTCTGTCCATTTATTTGACACAGAATCATAAATTTCCCCCGAGTCTAATGGTTCATCCCAAGATCCAAGACCTCCCACAGCAATCATTACAAACTTTCTACGATCTTTGATTCGAGAATTTTCAGTTTTTTGCGCAACAAATTTGGATGGCTTTATGCTGGAAAACGATGAAATATCCCTTTCATCAAGAGATTGTGTAGATTGACGTCTGACAGAAAGTCTGTGAGGATCCTCATATACGTCTGATGCACCACCAATCCTTGACCTGTAAAAGCGTCTATCTGACAGATTTGCTTGATTTCTACTGATAAAACAATCTATACTGACCTCGGAAATACCTAATATGGGTGATGATCTAGCATACTTCATGGATGCAGCTTTACGCCAAGACTTAGTCAAGGGGCTAAAAACTAAAACTCCTTTGTGCGTCTTGAATGAGCTTTTATCCACCCTTCCGAAGTTGGTCAAACTAGAACAGCCTCCAACTATAAAAACATCATCCCAGATGCTAGCAACAGAGAAAAGAAACCTTCCACGAAGAATTTGAGAATCGATTTTATGCCATTGGGCAAGTGAAACATCCAATGCATGTATTTCCCCAGAACAATAGCCATCCTTAACAACACCAAAGAGAAACAACCATGGACTTTGAAATAAGCCTTCCCTTCTTATCTGCATGAAACGAGATGTTGTTGTCAAGTTTCTCCATTTCTTGCAGACAAGTCGAGCATTCGCAAGACTAGTCAGTGGGAGCCTTAACAAGCACATTTCTAAAATGTCATCCGGAAGACATGAATTCATGCTATTGCTTTGTTGTGCTTCTTCAAATGTTAGAAGTCTTCGGTTATTCCTCCTCCAGAATTTCTCTTTCATCCCATAGGAAAAGCAATCCACAGATGCTTCTTCATTTCCACATATTGTAGGGTACCCTTTCCCATCCTCACTCACACTCGAGCGCCTTCTACTGCCAGAATCCGCATATTCTTCACCAGTGTCAGCAACTACTTTGCAACCTCCACCTCTGCTGTAAAGAGTAAGACATCGAAGGGACACACCCCTCCTCTCATGCTCTTCATCACCCTCATTTCTATCGTTCTTTCTTTTCAGTTTCTG